TTAAGTCCTACCACCACAGGAATCTGCGAGAGCACTGTCTCTTTAAATATCCAAAATAGTCAAGCAGCTTTTTAAACCTACAAAATGGCGGCATCCTCCATACCGGCAAAAGTCCACAGTTCAAACCACCTTTCTCTTCACCTTCTCTGTTTGTTCCCCAGCCATCATGCACAGTCTGTGCAGTCTCTGGCTAGCAGGGTGATTTTTAGGTTAATTCTTAGGTCCTACCACCACTCGGGAATCTCCAAGCTGCCTGTACCGTCAGGGTCGCTCAGGTCGCTGCCAGACAGCAGCTCCATATGTCTCCCTTTTTGTTATTTTCATGCAAATTCTTCTGCTAGTTGGGATTTAGTCCACTTCTGTATCCTTCCCTTCAAGACTCAGGGGTCCAAGATTATCTTCTATGTCTGTGTTAATTGGTTTCCCTTTTCTTCATTGAAGAGGGTCTGTGCAGTCCTTCTGCCTAGTCTGCCATCGTGCTGGAACTCTCCGTCATCTGATTTCTTAACTGCTGCTTCCATCAGTGTTTATTTTATTTATGTTGAGATGTAATCCATACTGAAGAATGTATCTTAGTTTTTCTTTAGAACAGCTCTCAGAATAATAGTTACTGTTCTCAGCAATGTTGAAACTGAAGCTCAAAAAGATGAGTAACCTACTCAAGGTCAAGCAGATAATAAGTGCTGAATGTAGAATTAAAATGCATATCTGCCTGGTTCATTCATCCATTCACTCATTTATTCATTAGATAAGGATTTTATTGTGCATCTATGCACTAGGTAGTGGAATACAGTAATGAACAAGAATTACATCATCACTACTCTCATGGAGTTGACATTGTTTTAAGCAACTAATTACAAAAGTTATGTTTTTTCTACCTCACTAAACTACTAATACGTTGATTGAGAATTAACATTTATCCTTTTAAGCGTAGTGGGAATTCAATGATAAAATCTATAAGACTATAATCTGAAAAAGATGCACATTAGTATTCAGACTAACTCTATGAAGTATTCCTATTTATCTGTGAGCAGTGGGCCTTGAGTCTCCCTTTTTTTAAATATTCTTCTTTAAAATCTGAAATGGTGTGCATCAGGGTTGTATCCTCTCACCATAATTATTCAATTTTATGCTGAGCAAATAATCCTAAAAGCTGGACTACATGAAGAAGAAAGCACCATCAGTATTCGAGGAAGATTCACTAACAATCTGCAATATGCATCTGCTATAACCTTACTTGCTGAAAATGAAGATGACTTGAAGCATTTACTGATGAAGATTAAAAACTACAGTTTACAGTATGGAATACACCTCAACATAAAGAAAATAAAAATCCTCACAACTGAACCAATAAGCAACATCATGATAAGTGGAGAAAAGATTGACGTTGTCAAGGATTTCATTTTACTTAGATCTGCACTCAACATCCATGGAAGCAGCAGTCAAGAAATCAAATGATGTATTGCTTTTGGTAAATCTGCTACAAAAGATCTCTTTAAATGGTTAAAAAGCAAAGATGTCCTTTAGAGGACAAAGATGTGACTGACCCAAGCCATGGTGTTTTCAATCACTTGATATATATGTGAGAGCTGGACAATGAATAAGGAAGACCGAAAAATTGATGCCTTTGAATTATGATGTTGGAGAGAATACTGACTGTACCATGGACTGCCAGAATAATGAATAAATCTGTCTTGGAAGAAGTACAGCCAGATGCTCTTTAGAAGTGAGGATGGTGAGACTTCATCTCTCATACTTTGGCCATGTTATCAGAAGGAACCAGTCCCTGGAGAAGGACATAATGCTTGTTAAACTGGAGGGTCAGGAAAAATGGGGAAGACCCTCAATGAGATGGGTTGACACAGTGTCTGCAAGGATGGACTCAAGCATGCCAATTGTTGTAAGGATGGTGTAGGACCAGACAGTGTTTCGTTCTGTTGTATATAGGGTCACTATGAGTTGGAACTGACTCAGCTGCACCTAACAACAACAACATTTTTGATCATTTTTTATTATTAAGTGCAAAAACAATTAATAGTGATGAACATTATTGTTAATAACAAAAAATACTCATGATTATTATTTACATTTGTAAACTTCTTAACTATTTATAAACACTTTAATATAACCACCTTAGCAAAACCCAGTTCTTTCGGATCCTAGTTCTCTTTCTTAGTGTACCTAAAAAGTAGTGGTTTTGTTTTAACTTTTTAAGAAATAACAGATTTTATCAAGCTGCTGTTAAGTGCAGTGACTCTACCAAACACTGTGGGGGAAATAAAATGAATGAAAATGTTCAGTCCTTGTCCTTAAAGAGGCCTGATGGGGCAACAAATGTAGATGGATAACAATGGAGTTTCTTAGAAAGCTTTGAGTAGAGGAATTGCTGCTGTACCTGGGCTAAGCATGGGATTCACCATTCTCAAGAATCCAATTGATACATGATGTTCCAGCATGATGTTAGGTCTCAGGGCACAGAAGCAGTTTGCATGGAAGAGACAGTTTTAAATTAAATCTTAGTATGTGTTATCTAGAATAAATACAACTAGGGGACAAAGATAATTTATTTCTCTTATTTGTCTCTTTTCTAAACAGGTGCATTTCTTAATAGCTAACCAGCATAATGGAAAATACAGCAAAAGTAAATATAAAGGATATGCAAGATGGGCCACCAAAAGAAGCCAAACTGCCTGCCAGTGAAGCACTTCTAGATTATCAGTAAGCTTAAATCCGAAATCTAAATGTCCCCAAGTGTAAATGACAGTCATTGTTCAGATTCCTGTAACTCCAAATGGAAGATGATGTGCTCAGTGGCTGCCAAGGGAGTCTAAATGGGCTGGAGGCATATGCGCTGTGTTATGTGCACATTTTAAAAGATTGTTGAAATTTGAATGTAACATAGTGTAGTCCAAGTAGTAGGTATGAAAAGCAACCTCTAAAGTGATTTTGACTCCCTTCCTCCCTCCTTCCATTGTATTGGTCACTCTCTCTTGTATACCCAACAGCTCACTGGTTTACCTCTTAAAATACAACACAGAATGTTTGGTATATATTAACAACAGAGTAGAAAAGGAAATTTATCTTTTTTATTAAGTTTTAATTTCTAGACATTCAAGCTTGCATTAATCTCAAGTGGCTACAGATCAAACCCAAGTGATTTAGGGAGAAATATTTTTAACAGAATATTTCTTAATGTCTTATTCTGTCCTCAGAGACAAAATAAAACTAGAGATGATACCTATTCTATGTGAATGTTTTACTTCAACTACTAGATAGTAAGCTCTTTGAACGTTTTTGAATCTCAGTTTTGGGGATTATTTAAGTGTTTTCATTTATAATTCTTAAAGAATGAATGAATAAGTGTTAGTCATTTCCCCAATAAAATTTAAATTTACTTCCTTTGTACTCATTCAACAAGTACTTGAGTGTTTACCAAGTACAAGGCAAATGCTAGGCACTGGTGTATAGCAGTGAACAGGACCTCATGGTCCTTGCCCTGATGAAGCATAAACCAAAAAAAAACCAAATCCACTGCCATGGAGTTTGCTCCGGCTCATAGCAACTCCTCCTTGGGTTTCTGAGGCTAACCAGGAGGCTGGTGGTTCAAACCCACCAGCCACTCCTCGGAAGGAAGATGAGGCAATCTACTTCCGTAGTGATACTGCCTAGGAAACCCAAGGAGGGGTCGCTATGAGTTGGGTCTGACTCGATGGCACATAACAACAACAACAACAATCACTACAGATAGTAGATTGCCCAACCTTCCTTCTGAGGAGTGGCTAATGGGTTTGAACCACCAGCCTTCTGGTTAGCAGTCACATGCCTTAGGCACTACACCACCAGAGCTCCCTCCCTGATGAAACATAGGATAAGGACATTGACAACTAAATCAAGCTTTTTATGAAATTGTTGTTAGGTGTCCTTGAGTTGGTTCTGACTCATAGTGACTCTGTGCACAACAGAAGAAAACACTGCTTGGATCTGTGCTATCCTCATAATCCTTGCTGTGTTTGAGCTCATTGTTGCAACTACTGTGTCAATCCATCTCTTTGGGGATCTTCCTCTTTTTCACTCCCCCTTTAGTCTTCTAACCATAATATCCTTCTCCTGAGTCTGGTCCCTCCTGATAATTTGTCCAAAGTACGTGAGACCAACTCTTGCCATCCTCACTTCTAAGCAGCCTTCTGGCTGTATTTTTTCCCAGACAGATTTGTTTGTTCTTCTGGCAGTCCATGGTATGTTTAATATTCTTCTGTAACACCATAATTCAAAAGCATCAATTCTTCCTCAGTCTTTCTTATTCATGCTTTTGCATGCATACGAGAAGATTTAAAACACAATGGCTTGGGTCAGGCACACCTGAGTTCTCAAAGTGACATCTTTTCTTTATAATATTTTAAGGTCTTTTGCAACAGATTTCCCCTATGCATTACGTCCTTTGATTTTCTGACTGCTGCTTCCATGGGTACTGATTGTGGATCCAAGTAAAATGAAATCCTTGACAACTTCAATCTTTTCTCCATTTATTATGATGTTGCTTATTGTCCAGCTGTGAGGATTTTTGTTTTCTTTATGTTGAGATGTAATCCATACTGAAGGCTGTAGTCTTTGATCTTCATCAGTAAATGGCTTCTTTGCTTTCAGCAAGCAAGGTTGTGTCATCTGCATATTGCAAGTTGTTAGTAAGTCTTCCTTGAATTCTGATGGTGTTTTCTTCTTCATGTAGTCCAGCTTCTAGGTCTATTTGCTCAGCATACAGAATTGAATAATTATGGTAAAAGGATACAACCTTGATGCACACCTTTCTTGATTTTAAATCACATAACTATAATTAAGGTGCTATAAAAGAAAAGTATAGAGTGCTTTGTGATGCTATAAGTAAAGGACTTGACCTAGTTGGAGGGGTCAGGAAAGGCTTGTTTGAGGAAATGGTCTTAGTTGATTCTAGAAGAGAAACAGGTGTTATGGAAGTATAGAGTGGTAGAGAGAATGCTTCCAGAAAAGCTGTTGGGGTGGGAAAGAGCTTACCACAGTCCGGGAATTCAGAGAAAGCAAAGTGGGGATGAGTAGGCAAGAGTAACTCACTGCCATTGAATTGGATTCAACTCATAGTGACTCCTCCTTGGTTTTCCAAGGTGGTATCACTACAGGAGTAGATTGCCCAACCTTCCTTTTGAGGAGTGGCTGGTGGATTTAAACACCAGCCTCCTGGTTCCAAACTGAGCTGAACTCACCACCATGGAACCAGATCTGACTCATAGAGACTCCTCCTTGGGTTTCTAAGCCGGGATCACTACGGAAGTAGATTGCCCAGTCTTCCTTCCAAGGAGTGGCTGGTGAGTTTCAACCACCAGCCTTCTGGTTAGCAATTAAATGCCTTAGACACTATGCCACCAGAACTCCTGCCATCTGGTTAGCAGTGATAAACTAGGTAAGAGTCAACTCAAACACAGCCTGGTAGAACACTTGGAATTTGGGAATGAGAAGCCACGGACTTGTGAGAGGAGGCAATATTGAAAGTAGAGAGCCATTGATTATGGTGACTAGATCTTTAAGAGAATTGTTTTTTAACAACATCCAGGGAAAATCCATCTCCTCTTTGAGAGATTCCAAATCTATTCATGTGTTCTTTTTAGAAGGCATTGGAAATATCAGAAGACTATGAGAGAAGCATACACTGGAAGAGGCTTTAACAAAATTTCCTTTAATTTTCCACTTGATGTAATATTCAGTAATAATCATATGCTGGAGGGAGCTCTGGTGGCTAATGCCTAAGGCATTTGACTGCTAACCAGAAGGCTGGCAGTTCAAACCCACCAGCCACTCCTCAGAAGGAAGATGGGGCAATCTACTTCCGTAGTGA